AGCTGTCCCAGTGCGTTGTGATTGGCGAACAGCTTAGTCAGTGTTTCAGTACTGCCCCGCCCCTTGCCAAAGCAGTTCCGTCTGCTCCGGTTTAGTTAAGGATGGCGTCAATATTGCCATATCAATTTGAGCCGGATTTAGACCCAGAAAATATTGAACAAGAGGATAGCGCAGAACCTTTGCACGCACGGATATTGCAAGACATTAGAGTGGTAACGTTATTGTTGTTGTTTTTTTTTTTTTGCTAAATAACATTTTAGATGTCAACAACCGCTTAAAAATAACTGCATTTACTATGTACAGATAAGTGCATATGTATTATTTTTATTGTTATTTAATTCTAACATTATAAGGTGAATTGCAGTGAAACTGTTATACAGTTGAATTTATTTGTACCATAGTCCAGTGTTTCCCAGCCGGCATATATATGCAAACTCATTCTCTGCCAGCAGGAGGCGCTGTTGGAGTGGCGGAGATCAAGGTTTCCCCGGTAATGGCTGTACACAAAGCAGCGCTCTGCTCAAAAAAACACTGCTTTATCAGACATTACATGCAAGATGAAATGAAAATGACATCCAATTTTCTGAAGACAGTCGGTTTCCTTCAGAAATACAGTGATATAAAAACACCCGCACTCAATGTATGGGTAGTATTTTTCTGCACGTTTTGTATTAATAATTGATTAAACAATTCTATTTAATTTTAATTACATTGATTTTGGAAATAGACACAATAATAATAATAATTACAGTAATTATTCACAATATCAATAATTATTATGGCTACTTATAATTTCTATTTAATTATAAATTCTCAACCAATCAGATTTGAGAACCAGAACGAACTGTTGTATAAATATATATATATATTAGTTGTATTAATATATTCCCCCTAAATAAGTACTCCAACACACATCTCAACAATCCAAAATCCAATTCCAAATCAAAAGATTTGTCCTCACCTTGAGATTGAAAGCGCTTAGAAATCGGCTCTTGAAGCTCCATGTGAGTATTTTTCACATTCAGATAATAGGTTATGAAGAAAATAAATTACTCCGAGACTTGTTTAGAGAGGTTTAACGCATCACCACATGAAATGGCTTCGCTTTAATAAACAAATTCAAAATAATAATCATCAACATAACAAGCGAGAAATCTCTACCACGATGTTCGGCCTCGTTCTGTTACAAGCTTCACAATCTATATTCTTCCTGGTTACAAAGTTTTCCCCTTAGAACAAAAACTTCCTTATTTGCTTAAAGGGGTCATATGATGCAATTTCAAGTTTTCCTTTCTCTTTGGAGTGTTACAAGCTGATTGTGCATAGATAAGATCCCTGAAGTTGCAAAGACTAAAGTCTCAAAACCAAAG